TCAGGCCACTATTCAAGGGCTTTGGGACAACAGCCTGGATGTAACTACAAATGAGCAGTTTGCATATGCATGACCCCTGGCATCTGAGAGCCTCTCAATCAATCACTTCACACGAGGGCTGCAGCGGTCCAGTCCGACTGTTGCTCTCCTTCACCTCTGCTCTGGCCTGACAGCCGCTCTGCCCTCTCGCCCGCGCCTGCTATTAATGCCTTGGCCTGAGTCTGGCATCATAGCCTTACACCAAATCTGCCTCTCAGAGTTTTATTGTTTGAGGACCTCAGTGAGGGCAGACAGTTTTGAGTGAAAGACAAGAAAATACTTTACATTCAGTTAAGTTTTACCTCTAACATCTGGTGCAGAGGTGGAGTATGTTCCGCAGTGGAAGACCTCTTATTTTTCTAGCAAAGGTAAAGCTGCTCGACTCAGATCATGCATTTATTTTACTATGAGCCCATTATTCCTCTTTTCTCTATTTACAGTAAGTACAGTAAATGTGTATTCTAATAAGAAACAATATAACATACTGTAGAGAATGAAATGTATTAGTGCTACTGTCTGTGATACAGTATGTCTGTTCCAATGCTTTGTATAACTTAAAAGAATGTTCTTATAATTAGTTGCACGCCTCTGATAAACTGTGCTCACGCAAATGAAGACGTGTCAATATAATACTTGCATCATTAGGATGTTGGCATTGCATCATGATTGCGTTAGCATCTGATTAAGTTGGATTAAGTTCAGTGTAATTTAAATGACACACTTCTGTTTACAGTAAGATAAAGCATAATCATGCACAGTGTAAAAGTGCAGTTATGTGAGGATGGCGAGTGCACAGTGAGGCTCTGCAAGCAGCCACAGATCAGAGCCCAGTTTTCAACAGCACATCAGAGAAGCGAGGGGAGAGAGAGGTCAGCGCTTAGAGGACTTTAAAAGGCCAACTATCTTACATAAGAAAAAAAACATTAATGAGCCTAACTTTTTCTCTTTCCAAATCGTCCATAATGGCTCAAAATATGGCTCTTTGATAGATGCTGTTTTCTTCAGTCAACATTGCAATCCGATGAATATCTGCTATCTTGAGCTCATTACCAAGTCATATTAAAAGACACAAACTGACTTGAGTACTAACTGTACATGCCACAAGAACCTTTTCATGTTGTGTTGCTTTACAACCAAAAACATAAAAATTTTTTGAAGATTCCATAGGACTGGTCAACTGTAAAGTAGAGTCAGTCCTCCTACTTTACAGTATGATAAGGTTATTCATATGAGTATTGGTCACAAACAGAAACAAGCACAAGAACCCGCTAGAATTGTTGGACTGAAAGGACAATGATGTTTAGAGTCAGAACTAAACATGGGGAGGCTGCATTTCAGATTCATGCCGCTAAAATCTGGAACAATCTTCCTGAAGATGTGAGACAGGCCTCTTCTCTGACAATGTGTAAAAACAAGGTTAAAACAGTTCTGTTCAGCTGTGCATACAACTGAGGGATTTTATAATTCTATCTTTCTCTTTAATGTACTGTGATTATCTGTGATTTTAATGCTATCTTGATTTTTTCAGCACTTTGAGTTGCCTTGAGTAGGAACTGTGCTATACAAAAAAACTTCCCTTGCCTATTTTTTTAGATTTAACGATTAATGCTAATAATCTTTTTGTTGATATTTATTTTGAATTATCTTTTGGTTCAATGTTCAGAATCCATTCATTTTATGGTTAATTTGTTGAGAACGTTAGTCATGGTCGTATATTGTCCTTTCTACAGACACTTAGACAATACAGTGTTCAATTATGAGCCTAAACCTGAGCCTCATGCATATTCCATACACTGCTACATTTAACATTCCAACGTGAGCATGAGGTGGGGCAGGGAGCCACCAGTCCACAACTGTGTAAACGTGGCGACTGCGCTGTCTCCATGTTTGTTAGTGAGGCAGAGAGCTTCCAGCAGAGTGTGCATTTGTTTGTTTGTGCTCAAATGCAGCAGCAGCAGCAGCAGTACACAAAGCGTGGCAGGGCGGGTTGCATGCAGTATACGGCAACGGGCCTATGGATATTAATCACCAGGACGAGCATGGTTGTGTGGCGCCGGGCCGAGATGGATGGGGTGTGAGCGCAGTGATGTCACCCTGACAAATGGAGCGGCCATGTTGGCTGAGACTCGCACTTCGCCTCTCATTTCAATTAGTTCCTCACACAACAGGCCATCTATGCTCCCATCTGCAGGTTACACACGTATGCACAAATAAGCCCTCGGCGCAAAGCGGTCGGCCCTCTCACCTATAGCAGACCTCTAACCAGCTCTGCATTTTACTGCGACGCACTGAAGTCAATGATGAAGGTGAAAGCACTGCTGGAGTTAGAAAGGCAGCAGTTATAGAATATAGCAGAATGGGACGAAGACCAGTGCATAACCAACCCTTTTCCAGCCATCGCTATGTTGATGTATGTGACAATGTGATGTACAGGTTCAAAATCAAAATCTAAACATGTAAAACCTAAGTACAACTTGTGAAGTTTACTTACTCTAAATGACCTGTGTCACTGCTATGATGAGAAATTATAATCAAAAAGATCAAAACAAAAAAGAAGAGTTCCTTTTTGTTTCTCTTTAAGATGTCAGTGTTGCAAGAACAATAGGAATGAGGAGCACACGGCACAAGATAAATGAACAAAAACTCTAAATAGAATAAAATAAAAAAATATATAACTCTAGCATGAAGAAGAAACAACTGCACCATCTCCATCTTTCGCATAATGAGCACAAAAACTCTGACTTTTGCATAATAAACAAGAATATAATCTCTACCTTTGGCATAATAAGATTTTGATAATTGATTTAGATTATGATAGAGATTTGATTCTACTTTCTTATGCATTTACAAAAACCCACTCATTCACACCGTAGGCAGGGAACATGAAGGGGAGTAAGTCTTGCAAATCTAGAAATAATATCCACTACTGCCCCATGTGGCATCCAGTTTTCCCACAGGCTTCTTTGAAAGTGCTAAGAGGCATTCTTGATTCTATTTGAATACATCTTAAACAGCCAGTTATTTTCCCCGGAGGAAGGAACAACAATTTTCCTTATTTGTGAACCCTTATTAATTCTATTATTTCCTCTTCACCATCTTGACAGTCTCTTAAATTGGCAAAGTAATGAAGACAGCTCAGCCACTTCTCCTCCCTGTAAAGACGGTCCCTATACCCTTCGGATGCGGTTCCCGGGAAGATGAAGAGATACCATCATTGATGTTTAAGCGTATACTTGGTCGGACCCTCTTGAGACCCACATGAAATCTCCAACTTAGCTCTCCGCTGCGAAGTCTGTGTCCCAGTTCAGCTTTACACAGCCCAGCCTGGCCCTGTGAAGTCACCCCATCGCACCAGGCACTCTCTCCTATCCAGCAAATCAAATGAAGAGTAAATGCGAGTCCATGATGGCGGTTAAAACGCTGTCAGTGCGGCAGTTGTCCGGTGCCAAAGTTCACCTCCCTCTGGAGAATTATATGTGCTCAGGTTCAAGCTGCAATGCTTTCCTTTATTGATGACAGACAGTGAGTAATAAGCCCTTTTCCCCTTTGTTAGCCAGACTTTCGGAAACCGGACTTTAAACGTCTTGGAGAGTTTTAGATCATTTACACCTGAGTCCACTTTGTCAGAGCTGTAGAGGCGGCTTCCTCTTTTTCCACATCACAGAGTAAATGGACGCTATTACCATTGGCCCAAATAATTGCTCGCGTTGCCATCATGTCGGCACTTCATCAAATTGATATTGTGGGAAAACACATGGGCAGTGGCCAGTGTGCAGCTCAGGAACACAGTCCTGCTCTGCCAGCTCTCGTTGGCCAGTGCTGCAGATAAAGACGGATGCATTGGCCGATTGTTGACGCGATAATGAGGAAGTGGGGAATGTGCCGATCATATCTATGTTTTTTAAAAAATTGCTTCATGAAAATCTGGAAATCTCAAGTAGGGATAGCACATATTTGGTTAATGAATGAATGGAAATAAAATGTTATGGCGGATTTATTTTTAAAGCTTGCCATTGTTTCAGTTATGAGCAAAACAATCCTCACATGCAGCAAAGCAGACAAATCCTGCTGTGTGCTATATTTTTTTTTACAAAGGCAATATTTAAATGTTTTGGGCTGTTGCTGCTGGTAAGAAAAGCTTACGTTGTTTAACTCTATTGTCTAATGTGATGTGAGCATTGTTCAAAAGAGCTCCCAGACCACTATGCATTTCTAACAAAAGTATGTTGAAAAGTCTTGATCAGTCTTCGTCAGTCCACTAATTGTAATCTTCCGTTATTCTCCCAAGGCCATTCTGCACAATGAGGTAAAACCAAAACATGGGCCCTACCGTAGAGAGTGTAAAACAGAACACTTTAGAAAACTCTGGCACATGCTGAGCAACAATATGCTACAAATATCAACCTGGAATGTGAGAACACTAACCTCGCTCATGTGTGACTTGCATTTCACTTCCTCACATTGAAATTTGTGATGTCATATTTGCAGTATATTGTAATAATTCAGCTTGTTGCAAGATCACAGTGCCAAAGCAATAGTCCAGGGGTCTCCACCCTTTAGCCACCCATTGCAATAAGCTCCTCAAAGGATTTAGAAATGATATAAGTATGTTATAGATGTAAATGCAAACAAAAGCTGTAATAAATGATGTAAAATGGGCGACAGTAGCTCAGTTGGTAGAGCATTGGCCTTTGAGTTGGTGGTGGTCGGAGGGGCCGATGGCACATACTGGTTGCCTCGCATTCTGTCAGTGTGCCCCAGGGCAGCTGTGGCTACAGTAGTAGTTTATCACCGCCGTGTATGGAGGGAAAGAATAATGACATGTAAAGCGTCTTTGAGTGTCCAAAAAAGCGCTACTTAAATCTGATGCATTATTATTATTATGGTAACACTTTACATTACGGGCCGGTAAGTCCATGGTACTTACAGTGGTACTTCTAGGTACTTACAGTGGTACTTACGGTGGTACTTACAGTGGTACTTACAGTGGTACTTACAGTGGTACTTACGGTGGTACTTACGGTGGTACTTACGGTGGTACTTACGGTGGTACTTACAGTGGTACTTACGGTGGTACTTACAGTGGTACTTACGGTGGTACTTACGGTGGTACTTACGGTGGTACTTACGGTGGTACTTACAGTGGTACTTACAGTGGTACTTACAGTGGTACTTACGGTGGTACTTACGGTGGTACTTACGGTGGTACTTACGGTGGTACTTACGGTGGTACTTACAGTGGTACTTACGGTGGTACTTACGGTGGTACTTACGGTGGTACTTACCGTGGTACTTACGGTGGTACTTACGGTGGTACTTACAGTGGTACTTACAGTGGTACTTACAGTGGTACTTCTAGGTACTTATTGTGGTACTTACAGTGGTACTTCTAGGTACTTACAGTGGTACTTATTGTGGTACTTAGAGGTACTTATTGTGGTACTTACAGTGGTACTTCTAGGTACTTATTGTGATAATTCTAGATACAGCTGTAACTTAGTAATTCAAGGACACTACAGTATTATTCCTATGTAGTAAATGTGGTACTTCTACATACATACATACAGAGGTCATTTGTAGGATTGTTTGACTATAAAACATAAAACAACATTATGTAAAACAAACGTCTTTATTAATATGGAATAAGTAGCACAGAAAGGACAGTATAAATACATTTAATGCATATTTCAAAACAAGTTTCAAGGACAAGGGAAACACTGCAAGAACTAGGTACCCAACCCAAGTAACACGAATTACACATTACCAGGTACTTACCAGGCAAGTACCAGGTACTTACCAGGCAAGTACCAGGTACTTACCAGGCAAGTACCAGGTACTTACCAGGCAAGTACCAGGTACTTACCAGCAAGTACCAGGTACTTACCAGGCAAGTACCAGGTACTTACCAGCAAGTACCAGGTACTTACCAGGCAAGTACCAGGTACTTACCAGCAAGTACCAGGTACTTACCAGCAAGTACCAGGTACTTACCAGCAAGTACCAGGTACTTAACAGCAAGTACCAGGTACTTACTGTATAATTACTGGTGTTATCACTGGTACTTATGTTAAAGTCCTTTGTCTTTAACATAACCACAATAAGTACCTCTAAGTACCACAATAAGTACCACTGTAAGTACCTAGAAGTACCACTGTAAGTACCACAATAAGTACCTAGAAGTACCACTGTAAGTACCACTGTAAGTACCACTGTAAGTACCACTGTAAGTACCACCGTAAGTACCACCGTAAGTACCACGGTAAGTACCACCGTAAGTACCACCGTAAGTACCACCGTAAGTACCACCGTAAGTACCACCGTAAGTACCACCGTAAGTACCACCGTAAGTACCACCGTAAGTACCACTGTAAGTACCACTGTCAGTACCACCGTAAGTACCACCGTAAGTACCACCGTAAGTACCACCGTAAGTACCACTGTAAGTACCACCGTAAGTACCACTGTAAGTACCACCGTAAGTACCACCGTAAGTACCACTGTAAGTACCACTGTAAGTACCACTGTAAGTACCACTGTAAGTACCACCGTAAGTACCACCGTAAGTACCACTGTAAGTACCACCGTAAGTACCACTGTAAGTACCACCGTAAGTACCACTGTAAGTACCACCGTAAGTACCACCGTAAGTACCACCGTAAGTACCACTGTAAGTACCACCGTAAGTACCACTGTAAGTACCACTGTAAGTACCTAGAAGTACCACTGTAAGTACCATGGACTTACCGGCCCGTAATGTAAAGTGTTACCATTATTATTATTATTACAATTATTAGTAACATGACAGTATTGAAGGTTAGCTCATTTTTCCCCCCTGACAGTAAAGTAGTGGCGTGATGTCATTTTTGTCCTGCGAAAGTAGCTCTCTGGGTGAAAAAGGCTGGAGACCCCTACCATGGACTGTAGAAGAAGTATTCATATTACTGTCTACGGCCGGAATGTAAAACATGTCTTTGTTTTGAGCCATGCAGCTGTGTAATTCTATTCTATATATGTCATTATGTAAAAAAAAGTCTTGTTATTTATGTAAATTATGAGTTGTGTGGACTGCAATAAGAATAGCAGCATATTTCCTGCAGCTAAAAGTGGAACAAATAAATACAGAAAGAAATGAAAAGAACACCACCACCGCTTTAAGCAGGAAGTGTACATTTATTCATGGCTTTGGATACGGGAACAGATCACATTTTAAGTCAGGACAAATATACTGAAATCTAGGTCATTCTTTTGGGTTCACATACTTTTTATGTGAAACTATACATATTTGTGTCAAACTATTATAAACTTGGAGATAAACAACACATGTTTTTGCAGCGGCTTAAGTTGAGCATTTCCACTATGATGGAAAAAAAATTATATATACATCGTGCACAATATTCAGCAAGCTCTGGTGAGGCCCTGGTTTCACACATCCATGTATTGATGAAACATGTTCTTTCACCCTCAGAACAAATGAAAAATGGATGAAAGCTCTTTGAAATAGCGATCACCATAAAGCTCCCACAATGCACCGTTCCTGCATTGCCACATGCAACACAAAGACGCTATACTGCAGACAATTGTTTCCTATGTGCTACAAAGAATGTCTTCCCCGCAATCGAACTTCAAAGCAAAACAAGAGTATTTTTTTCTCTTTGTGGTTGTTTCGTTTTAATTTACTGTCCTTATGACGCAGCAGCAGCTAAAGGTTAGAACTGGCTGGTGTTTCATCTGCTCTCCTTCGGTCCCCGGGGAGCCCGCTTTGCGCTCATCTCCGCAGCTTTGCAGGGTGGAGATGGTGCCAGGGCGGTGTTTGTTTGGCCTTCTTCCCCTTCTTTCTCCAAATCGCGATCGCAATCTGCCTGACAGTTCGCCAGCATGGCCCAGGCCCCACCGGAGCTTCCTCCAGATAAAATGTCGTCACGCTTTGTTCCACCCACACTAGGACACACTAAGACACACTAGAACACACCAGGACACACCAGGACACACTAGGACACACTAGGACACACCAGGACACACTAGGACACACCAGGACACACTAGGACACACTAGGACACACCAGGACACACCAGGACACACTAGGACACACCAGGACACACCAGGACACACTAGGACACACCAGGACACACTAGGACACACTAGGACACACCAGGACACACTAGGACACACTAGGACACACCAGGACACACCAGGACACACTAGGACACACTAGGACACACCAGGACACACCAGGACACACTAGGACACACTAGGACACACTAGGACACACTAGGACACACTAGGACACACCAGGACACACTAGAACACACCAGGACTTACCAGGACACACTAGGACACACCAGGACACACCAGGACACACTAGGACACACTAGGACACACTAGGACACTCCAGGACTCACCAGGACACACTGAATACCTGTGTGTCTGGAGAGGGGCTCAATATCTCAGGAACTGTCACTGATGCTTTAAAGGAGACCGACATATTACTGAAGATAATGCAACGTTTGATTGGGAAATGTGATTGTATATGATTAAGTCCTCATTGCTTTTACATCAACAATGACAACAGCATCATACATTTGTGACTTCCACCTGCCTCTCTTTCAAAACTAAGCATTATCGGCCTGTGTTTCCCAGCGGTCTATGTCCTAAGTAGTAAGTAACCTTTATAAAAATAGCATCTTTTCACAGACACACAGTGCTTCACTCTTGATGCGGGCATTTTCTATTCACTCCACACACGGTGACTCATATCTATTGTAGATTTTTTTAGTGGAAAAAACAGATAGAAACCTACATAGACACGGGAAGAAGCAGCCAAATCCACACAAAAAGGCCCCATCTCCCCCAAAATAATGAACACAGCTCCATCTTTTGAGACCACTGTGCCAGTATAGACCTTCTTGAAGACCTCTGTAATCTACTTCTAGAGAAATATGTTTCTTCTCCCCATAATTTGGAGACCACTGAACTTTAGGTATAGGGTACATTTTACTGTCCTTACGGAGAAGTTGGCCATCTGCTTTTGACCCATCCCCTACAGCCTCTATTGGGAAATCTGTCATGAGCAGAGGTTGGTTACAGTTACTGTAGCTTGAGAATTTCCCTATGGTGCATGGTTTGTGTTGATTTGAAAAACCAGCCCAGACAAAAGGAAAGATACACAGACTCCCTGCTGTAAGAATATAGACTAAAAGCTTTACAGTTTTCACCAGTTCCTTTCCTAAAATAAATGGTTATTTCTATAATTAACCTTATTAATCAGACTTGATATTTTTTATTGTACGTGTTTTGCGTAAAGTGATCCACATATGGAAAAATCTTCAATGACTGCCTAAATATTGCATGTAGTTTAGGGGAAAAAACATTGCACTACAATTCCCAGGAATCCCACTATTTACACATACTTTCACTCACTCCCTCAGTCCATTATGTCCCTAACGAGGCCTGGGCTGGTCGTGCTGCAGCCCAAGTACAATCGGGCGGTTACCACTGTCAGCCCCTGTTAGCTCAAGCCTTATAGTAGTTCCACTAAGCACACACACTCATCCCAGAGGATCCCCTGCCCGCCAGCCCACAGCCCCTCCCACCACACAACCACCAACCTCTCAATAAATTAATAACAGAAGGAGGCACTCTTGCAGGTAATCTGATTAAATACGACATGGCTGCTTTAAAGACCGTGCTGACCGAGCAGAAAGAAGACAGGACGTTGTCAAAAGAAATTGTCACTATACTAGAACATGACCCACGGTGCTCTGAGATCTTTTACCGACTCGCTATTGGTCGGCGAATCCCAACCCTTTTCCAAGGACACGCAAGGCCGCGATTGCCGAGATTGCCGAGATGACTGGTGTGTGTGCTGCGGATTACTGGGCTTGTCAGTAGCCTAATTTGAGCCAATTCCCACTAGATCTCTTAGCTTAATTGAATCCCACTTGCTTTAGTAGACTTTTATGAGTTCATATGTTTTGAACTGTATGAAGCATGTCGTAAAAGTCGATGCGCTTTTCTGGGGCACATACTTCAAAACAGAAAGCCGAGCAGCAAAACCCAGACGCCAGCGATACTCTGCGGAATTAAAATAGCGTGTAACCAATTTCTGATAAATTTGCCAAGGGAATTGTATTAGCAATGTAGAGAAAAACTAATAAGGAGATTTTCTCAGCTAAAATTGCATTTTAAATCAGTTCCTTTGTACTTGCTATATTATTTGCATAGAAAACAATGCAAGTCAATTTAAGGGATGTAGAGTTAAAATTATGGAGTTGGGATTCTGGGGTGGGAATGAGCAGCTGTGGGGATTAGAGGCAGACACTCACATATAGTCACATGGGTTTCCCCAAACTCTGGTAAGCCAACAGCGTTTGTTTACGTTTTAGTTGTTCATAAAAGCAGTAGAGAGGTATTCTTGGTAAAACTCTGAAAATTAAAATATTGTTCAAAAGCCCATTTATTTCTGTCAGTCAACCTAAAACGTAAAATAATAAATGATATAGACTTATTACATGCAAAGTGACATATGTTAAGTCTGTGTTTGTTATAATTGTAAGATTATACAGTCCTATTCAAATACTGATGTTTCATTTGGCATTTTCTAAAGCTCTGAGCCAATTTTCTACATTATAACAAATGCAGGCTTGATATATTTCCCTTTGTGTGTATATGAGTCATATATGATCACACATCCTATAATTAAGCTTACACATTGTTGAACTACAGAAGTAAATTCACTTTACAATCTCTATGTTTAACGATATTCTAATTTCCAGAGTTTCACCTGAACAATTGACTTCACATTTACAAACATAAAAATTAAATATCAATAACTAAATTTGTTGGTCATCATGTGATATTATAAACAGTGGCTCTGATTTAAAAAATCACATGATGTTCACTTTTTCCCCACTAAAACTTTTTGCGTGCAGACTAGGCTAGACTAGTTCTTTCATATATCGAGCCGTGTTCAGTCCCTGCTCTCCCCTCGGGCGGCTGAGGCTGCAGTGGCAGTATCAGGCCTATTGGAGAAGGAATGAGATGACAGGTCCTCTCACTCAGAAGGAAAGCACTCATTATACAGATTGCTTTGTGGTGTTTCTGGGTAACCTAGGCCAATGTCACCCTGCCTGCACAGTCTGGCCTCAGCCTGAACTGGCACGCTCACTTGAACTCCTATCAGCCCAATGTCCCGTCATCGAGCTTAATCTACCCCATCGCAACATTCAGTCAGGAGCAGTGTCACTCTAGATGCATTCACATGTACATTGTATCTGCATTAGTCTGTAACCTCAAGAAGATCTCTGAAGGGAAAAATACATGAAATAAAAAAATACCCATAATGCAAGTGAAAAGTGAGGCTTATTGCTGTGATGTGTTGTTCTGTTGTTTTGTGTTTTTATGTGATGTGTTTGTCTTATCCTGGACCATGAGTCTTTAATACAAGTTTGATGAGGATGTTGATGAATGACTCAAACATTTTTCAGCAAAATGATGTATTTTCATAATGAATGTTCTCTTTTGTTTCCCCTGTTACTTAGATGTTCTATCGCATTTACAAAAACATAATCAAGATACGTTCTTGTATATTTTATGAGGTGGATTCTGCATATTTAAAGGCAAGCTTCCATGTATCATATAACGTTTTTCAAATGTATGCTTCGATCACCCATTCGCTTGGGCAGACACTGACAGACGTTCCCTGCTTTTATAGAGAGATGAGGAGCCCACAATCAAAACAGAGGTTTCGAAGGATGTAACAGACTTGTTGATAACACTGCTACAGGTAAAGCAAATATAAAACAGGGCTACAGTGCGAGCACAATATAAAAAAAAGGTCAAAGGTCTGCAAAGGTCAAAACCCAGTGATACATGGTCCAAATGTTAACAATTAAAAGACTGAGTGAGAGCTGAAATTCTCCTTTTCACTGTAAAAGGTATCCGACAAAAGGAAAATATAGATACATATAAAAACTAGTGAGAGAATCGGATGAGTGAGGAACTAGTCACATAGATTGTACCACATTGTATACTGCATATCAAAAGAGTGAAATCAAAATCAAGTTAAATGCACACTGTACAATGTGAATTTTAAAACATTAGCTGTTTTGTTTGATACATTTCAATTGTCAAATGCAGCTTGAACGCAAATGTATATTGAATCCTCTTGATGTCTTATGTGCTTGCTCTCATGTCTTGCCATAATGCTTCTCTCATTACAAGTGACGTGGATGCCAGCTCTGAGTGCAAATATAATTCGATTTACTTTTCACTGACACAATGCATGTATCAGGTTTTAACAGGTTATAGCTTTGTTGCAAATTCTCATCAGTTGACCCTCAATCACACTCACACACACACACCCTCAACTACTTCACCTGTTTATAGTGGTTGGGGAAATAGTAGCATTGGTATCTATCTGGTAGCTAACCACTGCGCCACCTTGCCACTGTGGTATCATCTTGAATGAATTAAGCCCTATTAGTCCCACATCTTACCATCTTATTCTGTATATTACCACAACACATTATTCTTGCACAAACCCAGGTTAAAAGATACAGCTTCTATCCCCATCATGTCAATAGCGGTAGTGAAAACAGGCACTTTCAAACATCGGGAGAAATTGTGAATCTTATTAGTGGGCCATCTTGTTTGGCTCAATGCTTTAGCAGCAGCAGCCCCCTCTGGCTCTGTTCGATAGCATCAGCACTCACAGCAAGCAGGTGCACAACACAAAATAAAGCCAATTGTGTTGATCGAATCATGGGCCATTCTTCCCACAGACATTTATCCCTTCACCGGAGCATCTGCAAACTGGATATGTGTGCTGGATATTGTTCTTGAATGTCCGCAATAACACAAAGTGGACATATGCCGTGAATGTGAGGCTCCAGCTTTTAGTCTGGTTCAGTGCAGAGCAACAAGGGCCACCTAGGAAAGCAGAGTATATACTGAATCTCTATTACATGCAGAGTGAATGATGAGGAGTCTTGATTGACAGTGCCCTAATTATAACGGCACAAGCTAAAAGTCCCACATGTGAGCTGTTTTCATAATTGGCCGTGTAATTTATTCCATACTTAATCTAAAGCTCGCTGACAGAACACACCTAGGTCCTTAGCACAATATTTACAGCTTTATGAGTTTTGGGTTTTTTTCACCAGGCGTCTGAAGCTGTGGCTGAGATCAGAGCAGATTTGTACACATGTTGAATAAATTGTATTTTTGATACATGTGTATATTTGAATGTGTGGTTAGAAAGCCTCCTTGGATGATTTTGCTTCAACACTCAAGGCAATGCAGCTGTTCCGTCCAATGTTTCTGTTCAAATGCTCACAAAGATGCTTCCTATGGCATTATTCATTCACTCCATACACGGTGGTGATGAACTACTACTGTAGCCACAGCTGCCCTGGGGCACACTGAAAGAAGCGTGGCCTCCAGTATGTGCCATTGGGGCCCTCCGATCACCACCAACCAATCATT